ATTAAAAACTTAATTTTGTAATTCAGAATCTCATGTTCGAATTTTAAAAATAACAAATTTGTGTTTTACATGGAAATAGTCTATATATGATGTGTTTAAAAAACATAGACAACTTACATACTATTCTCAATTTAGAAAAAGCCTCTAATACAATACCACCAACATATATATTATTCTTAACTTTTGCCAAGTTTTAATCTTTGATTTGATCCGATTATTCAAGTTCAACAAAAGCAAACCTTGAAATCCAGACAGATCTTGTGATGTTTGTCCATGTCCTTTTTGGCCCTTTTCATTTGGCAACTTTTTAATTCATCCTTTGCCCCTCCATTTTTTTTTTCTAACAAAGCCATCGGAATATGCGCTTGCTCAAGCCTTTTTTTTTTTTTTTTTTCGTACAAAATTTTCCCCTATATTGATTTTTTGATCCAGAAAAAAGTACAACCCAGTCAATAACATTAAAAGATCTCAACCGTTGATCAAAAACCAATCAAACATCCCAAGGGCCCACCATACCTTAATTACCAAGTACCAGAGGTTTAATTCTGTTGTCACCTTCATTAGCCCAATGCTTTACGCACAAGCTTATCGGTTAACACGAGATTATCAATTCATTTTTACTAATAAGTACTCTCAACATTCCACCTTAATGCTAGTTCACTAAGGGCATTCATGTCATTAAACGCATCAAAATCCTCACTGGGCCAAAATCAGAACATCGAAAGAAGAACCGAGGCCTACGCCGGATTCCATTCTCCTCCGTCGCCATGTGACCTGTCTGTCTGAACCTCTCTTCTCTCTCTCTCTCTCTCTCTCTCTTTTTTTTTTTTTATAAATTTTTCATTGATGAAAGCTGAACCCAACCAGACCTGTCATGAAATAAGATAAACAACATTTGTTCAAATTTTTGGTGCAAAAACGAAGTGCCAACCAACCTGTATCTATCCATCTTTTAATCACTGTATCTTGATTTCCACTTCATCATCAAAACCAGAAACCGAAAACCCCATCTCAACTGCTTTAGCTTTAGCCAAAGATAAGCCGTTTGATCTTCCTCTGGGAAACAATCTTCTGTTGCAGCTTTTTGTCTTTTCTGTGTTTCCTGGTGTTTTTATTTTAAATTAGATGATGGCTTCAGAACTGCAAAAACCCACCAAGAAAACAGAGGGTTCTATGTTAAGATGAGGATATTACACAAAGGCAGGCAACCTGAAAAAAGCCTCTTTTTCAAATACTACAAATGGGTTCTTTGGTTTTCTTTTACCCTCTATTTTCTGACCTCTTTCTTCATTGGTAACAAATCAATCTCTTTGTCAAAATCCCGTGTTTCTGGTTCCAAATCCTCCCTAGCTTCTCGTTTACTGTTTGAATCTGTTAACAAAACTAGTCATAAATCCAAACCCAAAAACCCAGGTTTTTTTTCTTCTGCTTTCACCAAGCTTTTCCAAATTTCTTTGCAAAAGCAATGTTTTTAATGTTCTTTTGTTTCTTTGACAGCTTCCTTCAAAGACTTGAAGATATTCATCTACGAGTTGCCGTCAGAATACAATGAAGACTGGCTTTCCAACAAGCGATGCAGCAACCACTTGTTTGCCTCGGAGGTGGCCATTCATAGAGCTTTGATGAACACGTACAACTTGAGAACATTTGATCCTTACGAAGCTGATTTCTTTTTCGTCCCTGTTTATGTCTCCTGTAACTTTAGCACGGTCAATGGTTTCCCTGCCATTGGCCAGCTTCGCTCTCTTTTATCCTCCGCTATACAAACTTATCTCCACAAACTACCCTTTCTGGAACCGCTTCCCAAGGTTCGGACCACATCTTTGTTGCCTCCCATGATTATGGAGCCTGCTTCCACGCCATGGTAATGCAAAAATAATTTCTCAAAACAAAAAAAAAAAGGGTTAATCTTTTTAGGATCCCTTAATTTGGTTTTTAACTCTTGTTTTTGATTTTGAAGGAGGATAGAGCAATTGATGATGGGATTCCAGAGTTTTTGAAAAACTCAATAATATTACAAACTTTTGGGGTTAATTACAAGCACCTTGTCAAGACGTTGAAAATGTTCTTATACCGCCTTATATCCCACCGGAAAGTGTAAGGAAGACCCTCGAGAAAGCTCCGTTGACCGGGAACCGAGACATCATGGTCTTTTTCCAGGGGAAAAATGGAGGTCCACCCCAAAAACATTAGTGGAAAATTTTATAGCAAGTAAGTTCCAAAATAAAAGTCTCAAAAATGTTCAATCTTGGCCTTAATCACTGTGTTGAAAATTACGTGTTTATCCATGTTTAATGTAATTTTGTCATCTATTTCAGGAGGGTGAGGACAGAAATTTGGCGGAGGTATAACGGAGACCGGAGGTTTTTACTTGCAGAGGCATAGATTCGCCGGTTTCCAGTCAGAGATTGTACGGTCGGTTTTTTGTTTGTGTCCACTTGGGTGGGCCCCCTTGGAGTCCAAGGCTTGTTGAGTCCGTGGCTTTGGGCTGCGTTCCGGTGATTATAGCGGACGGAATTCGGTTGCCATTTCCCTCCGCTGTGAAGTGGTCCGAGATTTCCCTCACGGTGGCGGAAAGGGACGTGGGAAAGTTGGGTATGATCTTGGAACACGTGGCGGCGACCAATTTGTCTACCATTCAGAGGAACTTATGGGACCCGGCAGTCACGCGGGCCCTACTGTTCAATGATCATATGCAAAAAGGGGATGCCACATGGCAGGTTCTCGACTCGCTCTACCATAAACTAGACCGATCGTACAGCAGGTCAAGGGTTTCAAGCCAATAGGAAGAGAACACGTCGGATAAGTTAATATTTTGGGCGATTGAGTTGCCAGCTAAGGAGGTGCTCTTCCAACGCGGTGCAGGTGAATGGGTTTTTTAATGGAGGACAGCTGGGCTGGTCGCTTGGATCGCCGGTGTCGGAAGGGATGGAATTTTATTATTTTATACGGTCGCTGGGCCCACATAAAGCATAAGAATTTTTTTTTCGGGATTTTTGCGGGAAATACCATAATAATTATATATAAAATGGCCTTTGTATAATATGAAAAAGAGAGGGAAATAGGTTTTTTGGTAAATAATACCCATGAAATAGTTGTAGGGACATGACAAGACAACGTATCTGGCTTTGTACATAAGTATATGTTTTTTAAAGTGATTTAGATTTGGATCCACGTTCAAGTTTTGAGCTGTGTTTTGGAACTTGTTGCAACTGGTTTCCGGTTTTTTTTTTTTTTTTTTTTTTTATGGGCATCTTTGAGATGCACAAATCATGTAAAGTTTTAAAAAGTATATGGCCTGAATAGAATAATGGATTGAAAATTTAGCTTTTGGTCTGGGGAAAAGGGGATTGTCATGCAAATGGCTTGAAAAGAGGTTAGTAGATAGCAGAATTTGTCAGAGGAAAGAGAGTTAGATATTAAGACTAGGCTGCAGTGAACAGCTAAAAATGTCAGAGTCTTAAAGAAGGGATAGTGGGGGAATGAGTAAGGTAGGGTGCAAGGGGGCTTTGGATGCACACAGTGCTCACGAGACAGGGCATTAAAAATTCGTAGCATTTCACCTAAAATTACAGTAAAATTAATCGATTATAATTTAAAATTATATAAAATTTATTAATTTATATTTATAAATGATAAATTTTTATATAATTTTTATTAGGATTGAATAATTATGCGTTGTAAGAAAAAAATATGGATTTATAGTTGATATGCACTCTTAAAAATAACAAAAAGTACCTTTGCTATTATTTGTCAAAACATAAATAGAAAATGATAAACGATAAAAAATAAAATACCAACAAAATGGAGTCTTAATTTATTACGTCATTTATTCATAATGGGCTTCTTATAGGCCCAGAAGAGCTTGAATACTAGTAGTAATTTTTTGGGCCTTTAAAGTCCAGACTAACAAAATCGAAAGAATGGCCTCCGAGTCTTCGACGTTAGCGGTCTATTAGACAATAGTCCATACACCTTTGCCACTGTTTTTTTTTTTTTTTTGTTTAATGAATCTGACATAAATTTATTTATATTTTGGTAACCACGTGTTATAATTTGATTGGCTCTTAAAAAGGCATTTTTGAATTTATTTGACATCATAATTTCAAAAAGTTCTTTCTTTTCTTCAAAGGAATATAATAATTTTTTTTAAAATTATTTGCCATGCATGCAGATAGATGCCTTCTTAATTATCAAATCAGACTAGTAATCATATAAAAAAAGACCATACTTACATACTATTTATATAGGTAAGATGTCTCTTTAATTATTTTGGCATTTTAATGGCTAATCATTCGTTGCATTATTGCTTCAAAATTATCTTAATCACATCATATATTTTTGAACAAATAACATGAAATTTAAAAAAAAAAAATTTAATTCAATTGGTTTGATAGAGCATTAAAAATAAAAATTAAGATCGGATTGATTTCGAAATTATTTTTAAGATTTAAAATCAAAATTGATTCAAAATTATAATGTCCAATTTAGATCGAATCAATTTTTTTTATTTGGTTTGAATCAAGTTTATATATTAAATTTATATATTAGATTCAGATCAAATTTTAGATCAAAATATAAAAATAAAAAAATTGAATCAAATTAAATTATATATTTTTCTTAATTTATATGTATTTTAAATTTTTATAAAATAAAAATAATAATTTTAAATCAAAATTTACTTCAATATATTAAAATTTTATATAAAATAATATATAAAAATAAAAAATTAATTTAAAAATCTACAAATTAAATCAAATTAATAAAATTCAATTCAAATTATATGTAAATTTAATTCGCATTCAGATCAAATTTTAAAAATTTATAATACTATATAATATTTAAAAAGATGAACAAAATCCAATTCAATTCAAATCATTATCTTCCTTAAGCATCGACACATTAGGTTTGCGGTAAAAAATTCAATCCAAACATCACTTGTTTGAAAGCAGAGGCAAGACCAAGAGTCAATTGGGGTTCACAAATTAAAACCCAAACTATTTTCCACTGTTTCAGATTTGGTGAAGGGAGCAAATCCATTATTACAGAATCAAAAGAGAAAACCGTCCCTTTCCATTAATAATAACAAACTGAATACAAACCTTCAAGGCCTCTTTTGGCCATTTCACTTTCTTTTGATGTCTTGAAAATTCCCCTAAGTACTTTTTCTTTCTTTATAAAAAGCACGTTTATGATCAATTTTATTCCAACAACAATGCAAACACCTACAACCGAACAATACAAATTAACAAAACAACAAGATATGCAAATCTTAGAGGGCTTTGGACGCTCAACCACTCTTTCACCTGTTCTTGGCAAGCAGGACCCGTCTCAAGAAACCCCCCAAACTAACAATTATCACAATATTGCATCTTGTAAAATTTTAATAACCGAATCTTCATTCGCACTCAGGCGTCTGAGTGTGATCCCTCTTAGGGTCTTGGCAATAGTCATACACCAAATAGTTCCTTTGGACCCAAGTCATGGTCGAGACTTGTTGTTGGCTAAGGCCGCCGGAGCCGGATGGAGAGACGGAGGGCGGGCTGCATGAGGCAGGCCCATTGGCGGTGCAACCACTTACTTTGAAGTTTGTATACCTACCAATGAAGGGTTGGTAGTTATAATCAGCCTTGTATTTTCCATTCTCAGTGGCCCAAGACGATGCATCCCAAATTGATCCGTAAACCCACATCGGTCTTATGGGGAATGTGGCGCCACTTTTCCTTTGGTACCTCCTAATAGGAACATCATCTACGAAAAATCTGTTGATCGAATCATAAAACATTTATAATTTAGGGAAGAATTGCAGAGATTCACTAAACTTACAAGCTTAGAATTCAGTTTCAATTTTTTTACGGACAGTGGGTTACTTTATTAGGGTAGATTTTTCTTTAGGGAAAATGACAAAACGTGCACGTCGCTTTCCATAATAGTACAATTGCATTAGCAAAAGTAACACAAATAATAACCCATCAACATAAAAAGTTGTGAGCAAATTAGCAATCCATGTCAAGCACATACTCTAAAAATATCAATTTTACTTCTAAAATTACAAGCAAACCAAGCTAGATTATTACAGGATATGAGTGGACATTAAAATTTGAACACTTTTATAATCAGTACTATCAATAAAATTTGAACACTTTTATGTAAAGCTTCTCTCTGTTCTTTTTTTTTTGTTTTTTTCTGTATTTTTAGTGTTTTTTTTTTTGCATTAAACAATCAAAAGAGAAGAAGCTAATAAAAAACCAGAAGAAAAAAAGGGAAAAGCATGCATGCATGCGGTGAATACATAATTAAAGCAAAGAAAAGTTAAATTTGATCATTTGAAAATTGAAAAAAGGTGATACTTACATAATCTCACTGGGGGTCCAAAGTATAGCATAGTTATGGTAGTCTTGTGTGGGATCAAACCAAAGATGAAATTGCATTTCCCTTCCAATTATATTTCCATCCCCACTTCCTCTAATATACACATTAGTCTGTAGAGTATAGGGTTTATCTGGTGTTGTTCCAAGGAACTCAATATCAATTTCATCATGGTTTCCAGGGAAATCTTCATTGTTTGAAAGCTGCCAATTTGTCAAATTGCAGAACATCAAATTTTTAATTAGATAGACCATAAGCAATTTTTAGCGCAATAATTTTGTGTATGTTATGTATTAATCTTACATAGAAAGATGTAATGACTCCTGCTGTATAACCAGCTTGGAGCTTCATGGCAGCACCAAAGTAACCAGATTGATACGGCTGAAGTGACTTGAATCCACTTCCTGTTTTCACCATGAATGCAAAGAATCAGCACATAATGTTAGTGACTGATTATCTCCAGGACCAGGAGAAGAAAATCATGGAAACAGAAAAAGAAAAACAATGGATATGCAAGTGCAAAAACCTGAGCTTTTATCAAGCCAGATTGTTAATGAACCCTGGTCTACTCTCTGATGCTGAGGACCCCATAGATTTCTAAACCCTTGATCAAAGGTCACAGAACTAACCATGGAGCTGGGGGAGTATCCAGGGGAAGGTGGACCCTGAGCATTGCTTGAGGAAATCATGAGAAATGCTAGAAACAAAGAGGAAATTGGAGCCATATAGGGGAGGCAGAAAGGAGAAGGCATTGAGTACCGAACTATACCAGTGGTGAAACAAAAAGGACTGTCTGCCTAAATGCAGATTGAGACCTTGGGACCAAAAATTGAAGGTTCTGAAATTAGGTTTGTGTATGGAAGAGTGTGGCAATACATTTGGTATAAATAAGGTGATTGATGGACCCACCATAAAGCTAAGGTTATAAGTTGGTTGATGGTGGAGTTTTATTGTTGACAAAAACATGGAAAAACTGCTGATAAATATGAGGAAAGATTGTTGATCTTGTGATTTACACTTTTTTTTTCCCGCATTTCATTGCTTTTCTGAGAAAATTTGCTACTTCTGTTTGCTCACTTTGAGAAGTAAAGGTAAGAAATGTAAGGGAGAGGAATTAACGGAAAGTTTCATGGGCCACAACGGTTTTGATTTCATACAGTTTAGTAAACCTCAAAAAATGATGAGGTTGATGAATGAATTCTTGTACATATTATAAAAGTAAAATGCTTTTTGACATTCTTTAGAAAATGATAACGTTGGAAGATTGTACTGTGATAACGTGGGAAGATTGTACTCTGCTGCATTGTGATTTGTGATGATTGATGATTGCCTAAATTGTCCTATAGTAACCTTACCTCTCAAATGATCAAGATTTACCGAGTTCTGGACAATTTAATAGTAAACATTCGTCTTCAATCTCATTCTTAGGGTTTAACACAATTTATTCGTTCATTTTGCAATTTTTTTATTTCTTTTAAATTTTGATCTCTTTTATGAAAAGAACTTTCTATTGTCTCATTTATTTTACCATTTTATCTCAAAATCTCAAGTTTTAAATGATGTTATTAATGCAATTACCATAATTTTAAGATATAATTGGTTGATTCTCTCCTAAATTATTGTGAATCTGTTGTATGTATAGATTATTCGGAGGATTATATTAACAGATGTATAAGACTATAAATTTGCTTCTACTAAAGTAAATCTGGTTATATTTTGTAATCAGTTTGGTTAAATATTTGTGTCTATGCAAATTGCAGTTTTTAATGGAAGACCAGTCGACTAATTCAGGAGTCAGTAAGGTAGGATCAGATAAAGCCAAAAATTTTAATTAAAAATATAAACAAGTGATAATATATTAAAAATACTAGTAGTACTTATTATACATTCATGTTGGTATGAAGTTGACCTGAAGAAATTTTATGGTCCAGAAGAAAGAGCCAATCTCTTGTATGCCTAATGGGGCCTTGGAAAAATAATTAAAAGCATGCTTTATATTTTGGTTCAGGATGAAGCTATAATGAAAATTTGATCTCAGATTAAAAGAACTAAAAATAAAAGTGATGTTCTCCTAAGCAATGGAAAACTTTTCATCCACAGACAGTAAAATTTGATTTATAAAAATCGAGCAACTGATTTGTTAGATCTTATACGAAAAGATCAAATTAGGACGATTTGTGACCATACACATGGGAATATTAAATCTTTGCTTTGTAGATTGAAAAAGAGTCAATATTTTAGTGCAAAGGGTTGGATGTCCATCCTACTCCAATCTGCTGCTAAAGCCTTTCTTATTTCCACCCTGGTCTAATTTGTAGGCTTTAATATTCGCTTCAACGTTTTCATTGGCAAGACGATTGACTTGGGACCTTTTCTATCACACATCGGTTGATCAAAAAGTCTTTGTATTAGCTACCCATACCGACAGACTGGCTATAGTCAGGAAAACGATTTATTTCCTTCTTGAAAAGCCTCGTGAATATATATATATATATATGTATATACATGTTTCTTAGACAATTACTTGTTTGATTATGAAACTTCAAATTCCCTAATTGAGTGCTTGATGATCAGTTTGGGATAACTGAATAACCGGGGACTTTCTCATACAAGTGAAAGTGGATTTTCAGGGGGACATATGGGGGCAAAGTAACTGTCAGTATTTGGATATAAGTTGTGAAAATTCAAACTTGTTGAACTACTCGTGAGTGAACAGGCAGTACTCTTGATTGGATGTACTATTCCTGGTTTAAATTTTCATACTTGCTCTGATCAGTAGGTGGTATCTTTTCCGGGCTACCTGTTCTTTTGGAGGCTACAGCCAACAAAGAATCTTATTTTAATTCTTCTCTCTCCAATACTTGAATAAGTAAAAAACAGTAGTTTTAAGTTTGACAAAAGTGATTAATAACAAGAAAATAGAACAGTGATGCTAATTAATTAACTTTTTCAACAGGAAAAAAGATCCCAAGTACATAATCAAAGCGAATGAATGGAAAATATTATATCAGGGGATGTAACCCGAAAAGATGGATTGATTGGCGCTTGGACGGGAAAGAAAAAAAAAACGATGGTTGCATGGAAGCATGAACAAAATATATATAATCTGGGGACATTAGCTCTCAATAGTTGATCAGTTAAACATTAATTAAGAAACATCGTTAAGCGACCTAATTAAAAACTGTCTCCTGGCTAAGGAGAAAAAGTAACAGCATCCGGGTCTATTGTTTGATTTCAGTTCCAAAAAAAAAAAAAAGCTGGTGGTTGAAGTTGTTCCATGTATCCAATCAGATCATATGCCATGAAATTCTGCCTTCGCTATATATACTATTACGATACGTAAGGATAAGCTTCAATTTTTTGTTTTTCTCGTTAGATACATATTTTTACATTGAAAATTATAAAAAATTAAATTTTGATCACTGAAATTACAAATATTAACCTCATCAAAATACTCCATTTCATGGTATTTAAGGTCTTACCATTAACACGTTGTGATGAAAAGGGAAAAGGGTAAAGAAGAAAAGGTCGTTAAATGACAGAGTCTGATCATATATAAGTAATTTTCCAAGATTCAATAATTTCCCAGGGTCTCTATAACATCATTCAAAATCAAAATGAAAGTTATTTGCACTCAGCAAATTTCGAAATAAGCTGACATATTGTACTAGCAGCCGTTGAAAACTTTACTATTGTTTTAATTGATAGATATCAATTCAAATCCAAAGACATAATTGTCCAACTCGTATATCATTGCATGACAGTGCCTCTTTCTTAGAGTATAATACCATGAAGAAGTTGACAAAACTGTCCTGTTCGAGTGCTTGGCCGGTTGTGTCCTACGTGATTGAATGCATGGGACCTCTTTGTTCACCGACAAATCCGGAAGCTTTTATCAAAGTCCAAACCTTAAACCATTGAAATTTATGTATGTTGAACAAATCTACGGGTTTAGCATTAAAAGGCAAACTCACGTTCCAAACTTTCAATTTCAACAGGGTATTGCTTAAAAGAGATAAAGAAATGTGGATCATAATAATAAGTAATAGCCATACATTCTAGAAGTTAAATGATTTTAATTCGTACAATAAACTATAATGTTCATTAGAATGATCATAAAAAAAACTTAAAATTTAGCATAAAATGACGTAATGACATTTTCTCCCCCAATAAGCTATTCAAATGAATTATAAAATTATGACAGAATTCTAATACCAAATTGATTTTCCCCGAAACTCGTTCATTGATATTTAAACCCTTAGCCGCATAGACACTATCTATTCAAATGTTGAGAGACATTAATTAAAAATATTACAAACGCAACATTTAGTATCATTAATACCAAAAATAGAAACTTAGTAATTGCTTTCTGTTGGGATTTGCCTTAAATCTCATAATCTCACATCGAAAATTAGTGAGTTTTGAATTTGTCTAATATCCCACATCGAAAGTTTAGGAAAAGTATAAGGGGTTTCACATTTATAAATAAGGTATTTTGTTTTTAGTTTGGTAATCCTAAAGAGTTAGACACCAAGAGAATAGCTAAGTGAGTATGTTATTAAAGGGTATAATTGGGTTTTGAGTTAAGTTTTGAGTAAGGAGTTTTAAGAGACTTTTGTAAAGATTTATTTGTTAGTGGATTGTGTTTGGAGTAGGCCACTTTGAGTTGGGCCGAACCAAATATATTTGTTTGTTCTTATTCTTGATTTGAACTTGCTATTTTATGTGTGGGTGTTGCTTGTGGTTGTTGATTTTTTCAACAAGTGATATCAGAGCTGTGGTGTTTTCCAACAAATGGTATTAGAGTTGAAGATTCAAAACATGAGAAGGGTCAAAGGTTCAAGATGAGGGAAAAGCTGAAGGTTCGAGATGTGGGAAGAGTCGAAGGTTCAAGACTTAGGAAGAGTTGACAGTTCGAGATATGGGAAGAGCTTAGTTTGAGATATGGGAAGAAGTAAGCTTAGAGGAGCTCGATTCAAGAGAAGAGTTCAAGTTCAAGTTTTGAGGATTGAAGATCAGTTTGTATGAAACGTGAAGACACACAAGAGAAGATGATAGTGAGACTTTTATTATAGGTGGATCCAAGCATGTCTAGCATGAAGGTAGATGATTGATGGAATTTGAGTCAATGTGGAGATTGTTAGGAATATTGACTCAAATCTCATAAGAGATTTGTTTGGGATTTATCAGATATTGCTTGTGGACAAAAAGACTTGTAAAAGAAGAATTCTAAGAGAAAGATGATTCTTAATAGGTAAGTTTGACTTGCAAGAGAAAAATTCTAAAAGGAAAGGGATTCTTAATAAGTAAGTTTGACTTACAGGAGAAAAATTTTAAGAGGAAATAGATTCTTAATGGGCAAGTTTGTATGGTTATAAATAGGTGAAGTCTCTACAGGGTTAAGTATGAGAAAAAGATGTAAGAGAGCTGTAGGGTTTTGTGGAATAAATACCTCGTAGGAGTATTAGGGCTCTACGTCTTATGGGTGTGTATGTTTGTTTGTGAGTGGATTAGAGGAGACTGAGAGGGTCCACATAGGTATGATGTATGAGAGCATATGGGTATATGTTTGGTTATGTTGAAAAGATGCACAAGGGTTTGGGTTTGTGTTTGTTTGGGCTGAGAATAGTTCATAAGACTAGAGGAGATTGAGAGTGTCTTATGAGTATTGACGTTGAGTGAGGTTGATGATTTGATGTATGTTTGTAATTCTCTACAACTAGTGGATCTTGTTTCTCATCCGTAGATGTTGGTTGATTGGATCGAACCACGTTAAATTATTATCTCTTATGTGTTTAATTTATTGTTTGATTTTGCTTCCGCTGGTGTGATTGGATTA